GCTGGAGCGCCCTCTCCTTGCGCGCGGAGCGCGCCCGGGGTGGCGCTGGAAGCGCCTCCAAGAGCATTGGCGCCGATCCAAGAAATTCGCGCCGACCTCCGAAATCCCACCAGCCCTCTGGGCGTCGGTGGTTTAGAGCGTTTTCTCTTCCACCCCTCCTTCTTTCCCTTCGGGGAGGGGTTTACCCCTCTCCCTACCCCCTCCCCGTGGACCTGGACGGGGAGGGCCGCGAGCGGTCAGAGCGTCCAAAACGGCCTCGGCGAGGAAGCCACAATCATTGATTTTACTACGGTTTTGGCCCCATTTTGGCCTCCTGGGGAGGCGAGGCTAATTGAAGCTCCGCTCCTCTTTGGTAGATCTCCTCCAAGATAAGAAACGCCCACGAGGCCCCAAGAGGTCCCAAGATGGCCCCAAGATGGCCCCAAGAGGCCCCCAAAAGGCCCCCAGGAGGCCTCCAAGAAGACCCTCAGCGGCCCCAAGAGGCCCCCCCCGAGGCACCCAAGACCCCGAAGAGCCCCCCAGGATCGCCAAGAGACCCCCAAGACGTCCCACGAGGTCACCAATAATCGCCCAAGAGATACCCCAAGAGGCTCCGAGAGGCATCCAAAAGACCTCTGGCCCTTGTGCTTGCCCTCCTCCTTCTCCTCCTCCTGTTCCTCCTTCCCGCTCCTACTCCTTCTCTTCCTCCTCCTATTCGTCCTCCTTCTTCCCACTTCCTCATCCATCCATCCATCCACCTCCTCCTTCTCCTCCTCACTCCTTTGAACGGTTCGGCCGTCCTCCTATTTGCTGCCGCACTTCCCTGATCACCTCAACTCGCCTGGACATCGTTTCTGGATGGGCTGGTGGGGATACTTTTTCGGTCGCGTACGCGAGCGAAAGCGCAGGTGGAGTCACAAGCTGTCCGGGGCGCGGAAGCAGGCCTAATTAGCTACTGGGCGCGCCGCAGGCCGGCCGGGCCAGCTCACAAAGCAGCCGCTGTGCCGCGCAGTGAAGCTGACAGGCCGAGGGCACCCAGGGAAGCTCGGGCAAAGTGCACTCTGGCAAAATGCAAGGAATTCAGTGTACGCCGTGCGGCGTGAACCACTCAGAGAGCGCGAGGACGTACGCGTAGAAACCTACACGGCTCACACGTCAGGAGGTCGCACAGGCGAGGTGAACGATGGACGAGTCGCCACCGGGGCGCCAGGTCCAGGGCCGTACCAACGGTGTATGCTAGCTAGGTGGGCTAAGCTGCCGAGGTGACGTCGAAAACCTGCTTGAATGGCTGGAATGGATCCAGGGGAAGTGCTGTGACTGCTGGAAGGCTGAACCACTCCGAAGCGACCACATGGCTCCCAAGGCCCACCATCCCGAGCGCGTGGGGCGCTGGCCCTGGGTGAACCCTGAGGGCCTGGCCCCAGTCACCCGCTGTCACGGCGTGGTGAACGTCGCACTGAGTGTGACCGGCCACGCTGGCGGGGATGAGCATCGCCAGCTAGGCAAAAGAATCCAGGGTTGAGTTGCGCAGGGGCCCCCCACGATCCAGTACGTGAACCCGGCAGCCCGCCCTGCCTGGGCGGGATCCGAGTGGAGGGTCGGTGGGGACAGACATCACTGGCCCTCCAGGCGGAGGGGCACACCAAGGACACCAGGCGAAATAGGTCTGGGGAGGGCCGAGCCCGGGTACGAAATCCAGGGATGCAGCTAACGGCTGCTCAGGGTTGGGAGAAGAGGGCGATGCATCCCCAGGGAAGGCGCAGCTTGCGATGGGTATAATGCGATCGGTAGGAAGGCCGAAGCCCAGGCCCGAACTCCAGGGATGCAGCTAACAGCTGCTCAGGGTTGGGTAGAAGAGGGAGCGACCCGAGGGGAGGGGCGGTGGGGACAGACATCACCGGCCCTCCACGCGGAGGGGTACACGGAGGGGCTGGTGGGGATATTTTTTTTTGGTCGGCGGCTCCAAGGCAACGGTCAGGGAGCGAAAGCGGCGTCCGGGTGGCGGTACGGGGCGAATTTGCGAACAGAACCGCCAGTGTCGGCGGACAAATCTCGCACCCGCAAGACAAACTCGCAGTTGCACGTGCGTAAAACAAAGTGAACTAAAGTCACAAACGAACGCACATAGGCGCAGCAGCGTGAACCGAAATCAACGGGCTGCCGAGAATAATGTGCGGATGCGACGGAGTGAGTCGCTGGGGCGGCGCCGGACTCCATGCCGACCTGCACAAACCGAACGGCTGTGCGGTGTAACCGAGACACTGCGCGGGGGAAGACCACAGGCTGTACAGGCGTTGCAGGCTGAACCACTCAGCGCCCGGTCCTCAGAAATCCACCTCTCAGTGCCAGGGGGAGCCAGCGGCAGCCCAAGGCGCACCGTGTTGCGGACTCCTGAAGCGGAGAGGTCCGCTGGCGTCCGAGACAGTGCGCGGGGGAAAACCAAAGGCTGTACAGGCGTTGTAGGCTGAACCACTCAGCGCCCGGCCCTCAGAAGCCCATCTCCCATCTGGTGGGGATACGCGAAGCGTCTAGAACTTGATGTTGATTTTGGGGGTCTCAAGAGGATGCCCGAGGCACCCAAGAAGCTCAAAAACGGCCCTGGGCTCGTCAAGATGCCCCTGCTCCTCCTCCTCCTTCTCATTTTTTCCTCCTCCTCCTTGTCCACCGTCTCTTCCTCCTTCCTCTTTCTCTTCCTCCTCGTCCTCCACAACTCTTCCCATTTTTGGGGTATCGGACGGCTTCCCCCGCCCTTTGTTTTTCTGCGTGCTCCCCCACTTCCCTGATCACCTCAAATCCCCTGGGTATCGCTTCTGGTTGGGGTGGTGGGGAGATTTGTTTGGTTCGCTGGCGTGCGAAACGAGTCGAGCGCCGAGCGTGCTAGGACGGGCCGCGCCGGTAGCGAAGTGAAAAGCAATGCAGGGGGCGGCGCGCGAGGAGCCGCGGTACCGACCAGGCGGTCAGCAGCAGAAGAGCATGCTGTTGGCGAAGACCACGTGAGCGCAGCAAACTTGGCGAACGTGACGCACAAGAAGCGCCCCAGGAGCGCGAGGAGGACGCCGAGGAGGACGGAGGCGGATGATGGTGGACCGTCGCACCGAACGAAACACCGCTGTGCCAACGTGGAAGACGCAGCCAAAATGGCGCGAGGAAGGCGAACGGGTGGCCGTAGAGGGTGGCAATGACGCGCAGGTGGACCCCGTGAAGTAGTACAGACGGCACCCAGGGTAAGCGGAACAGCAGGGAGGCGACCACGCCAGGCGGCAACAGTCATCCAAGTAGCCGCGACCAGTGCATCCCAAGGGACAACCTTGCCGTAGCGAAGCGTCAACAATTTCCCGTCCTCCGCCTTCCCCTGATCCTCCTGCTTCTCCCGTTCCTTCCACTCCAGCTCCTGCCGCTGCTTTTCGATCTCGTCCTCCTCCCTCCTCAAACTCCTTGTCTTCCTCCTGCTCCTGCTCCTGCTCATCCGCCACCTTCTCGTCCTCCTCCAATGCACGCAGCTCCGTTCATCCGGTTGCGTATAACACGATGGGGCCCTCTTTGGAGTTCCAGGCCGCTATGACACGCGTCGGCGGGTATATATATATATATATATATATATATATATAGAGAGAGAGAGAGAGAGAGAGAGAGAGAGAGAGAGAGAGAGAAAAGAGAGAGAGAGAGAGAGAGAGAGAGAGAGAGAGAGAGAGAGAGAGAGAGAGAGAGAGAGAGGAGAAAGAGAAGAGAGAGAGAGATAGAGAGAGAGAGAGAGAGAGGGAGAGAAACAGAGAGATAGAGAGAGAGAGAGATAAATAGAGAGAAAGAGAGAGAGAGAGAGAGAGAGAGAGAGAGAGAGCGAGAGAGAGAGAGAGAGAGAGAGAGAAAAAGAGGAAAGCAGTGCAACAGTGCAATGGGAGGGGATAGGTGGGAGGGGCAGGATGTCAGATATGGCGCGAATACACCCAGCTTGTCCGTCTCGCCTCTCTCATCTTCCCCCTGCTCCTGCCTCCTCCTCCTTCTCCTCCTCCTCCTCCTCCCCCCTCTTCTCCCTTTCCCACGCTCCCACCCTCTCCCTTTCCCCTGACCCTCTGCATTTATTTCTCCATCTGCTTCCTCCTTGCTCCTTCCTTGCTGTCCTCTTCGAGTCCCGTGGCTGCCCCTCCCTGGGCTCCGCTGGCTCTGGAGTATCCCTCTCGGCGCGCCAACCTGGAGGCGGAGGAGGGGGCGGGGAAGGTGAGGTGAGGGACGCGAGGTGAGGAGAGGAGGGGAGGTGAGGCGAGGGAGGAACAGATTCTGGCGGTCGGCTGCGCCGCATGCGAGCGGCTGCGGCTCCGCGCCTCCCTGGGCGGAGGCGCCGCCGCGCGCGGCCGCCCGCCCGCCGGGCACTGCGGGCGCTGCGCGCTCGCCAGTGGAGGCGCGGCTTGCGCGGGCGACGACCTCGGAGCGTCCGCCGCCTGCGAGTGCCGCAGCCTGCTCGGGTGTTGCTAAAAGTGCCCTTGGCCCAAGGTGCTCTCAGGATTTCCAAGGAGGCCCCCACGGCCTCCAGAGGACCCCTCGCGAGGCCCAGAGGACTCCAGGGGCTCCCAAACAGAGCGAACAGCTGGGGCACCTTCGCCCAAAAGCACCTGTGCGCCCTCATCGCGGTCTCGAACTCCCGAACTCCTGGCGCAACCCGGGCGGGTGCGTTCAGAGGCCGCCCTGGGCACCGCGGATCGAGCCGCTTGCACATCCGAACCGACCGAGTCGAGCCCCGTACTTGGAGGAGGAGGAGGAGGAGTCCCTCGATAATCGGCAACCTGAAAAACAAAAACGCGCCGTGAAAAGTCGCGAGCGGAACTGTCGCCCCCGTCTCTGTGCGGGAGTCTTTGAGCCAAATCGATCCGCGATGGCACCGGGACCAACACGGGGCAAAAACGCCTGCCGTGGTAGTGATCTTTTCAAATTGCTCTCCGGGGTGCGCAGTCCAACCGATCAATGCCACGTGCTGGCGTCGACGCGCGTCGTAATCGAGTCGATCGAATCACGGAGAGCCCTGCCGCCTGTCGGCCAGCTGCTCGTAAGGCTGGCGCTCCTCGTCGGTGAGCCCCTTCCACTCGTCGTCGAGGACCCCCGTGAGCCCAGCTGCAGCCTCCGAGCTGTCGCCCCTGGCAGGAAGGCCAATCGAAAGACCAAGCCTGCCTCCTCCGCCCCTCCCCAACCATCCGCCGTCGCGGCAAAAATCCATGCGCCCAATTTGTTTAACTGTTGAGACTCTGGAACCAAGTTCAGGGCCCTGGGACAATAAGAAACGGCCCGCGACGAGAAGCCAGTCCTAGGGGTGGGGTCGAGAGCTCCAAGGCCCCCGTTCCCCCCCCATACTCTCATCGAGCCCTCCGCCCTTGCATCTCTCCCCCGCCATCTTCTTCTTCTTCTCCTCCTCCTCCTCCTCCTGCTTCTTTCTTCTTTCTTCTTCTTCTTCTTCTCCTCCTCCTCCTCCTCCTCCTCCTCCTCCTCTTTCTTCCTCACCTGAGATTCTCCATCCTGTCTTCCCCAATCAGTGCTTGCACTTCGAAAGCTTTTGCTTCCGTTCCTTGAATACTTGGAAGGGTCCGCCGAAATTGCGCCACGTTGCCGCCCCGTGCCGCCTCGTTGGCGCTAGTGGGCGCCCGGTGCATCGGGTGGGTCCGCCGAGGTTGCGCCGCGTTCCCGCCCGTGCCGCCTTGTGGACGCCCGTGGGTGCCCCTGTGCGCTGGGTGGGTCCGCCGAGGTTGCGCCGGGATGCTGTGCGTGCCGCCTCGTGAACGCCCCGTGCATTGAGCTTACACCACGTAGCGTGCACCGCACCGCTGTCGCCTCCATAGCTCACATCATAAAGCCTGCACGACATAGCTAACACCACATATGTTCCGCTGCCACGAAAATTATAATGGTCTCTACCAGCCTTCCCCCCGGACTTGCTGGCCCCCCTGGGACTTTTCAAATGACAAATGATTGTGCTTCGTCGTTCGTCTCCACATGAACTCATACACACCTCACTAAGTCGGTTGCTGCCTCTTTCATTCCTCTCAAATGACAATATGCGCGCGCACGGTTTTTCTTAAACGTTATGTCGAATAGGTTTTTGCCACACATGAGACAACATCCAAACGCGCGCGCCCATGCCGAAATCATACCAACCACACCAACTTTGCAAGGCTTGCAGCATACAAATATAAAACGATCGTAGTTTTGCCATCACAGACCTGGTAATAGTTCTGCCTGCGCACATGTGCTGATAACAAATGAAAGCCATCGATTTTTAGCAACTTCGTCCACAGCCTTCAGTCTCATCTCACCCCGCGGTGCATCCACGTTGACCCAGCAAACGCACAATGTGCGAGTCCGTATGAAATGAAGCAGGCGGGCCGCACGCGCGCGCCGCTACGCGAGCGTGTCGAATCACCTCCAAACCAGCGGTTTTCAAACCATAGCATTGTTGTGTTCCACAACAAGTCGCCAGGCTTTTTGGACTTCCGCGCGATCGCCCTTCTTTTCTATCGCCCGCATCAGCGCCGTCGCAGCACGTCATCATCGCCGACAATCGCCGCCATTATCACCCTAGCACCTTCACCATTTGACACATGGACATCATCATCGCCATCGGCGTTACCAACATCGGCACCGTGATTGCCCTTGCCGTCGTCATCGTCATAATCGACACCACCACCGACGTTATCATGATACCGCGCCTGCCTGAGCTACCGTTCCGCATTGAAGTGCCCGCGCGCCAGCGCGGCTTATGGCACGCGCTGAGACGTCGCCATCGGTAAGCGCCATCATGGCAGCATCGGTTGTGCCAAACCAGGTGGCCGCTCTGCCCGCGAGCTTGCGCGCGCCAGCGCGGCCTCAGAGACGCGCCAGCCATGGCCAAACAGTCATCACAATCGCCGCCGCAATGTTTTTGCAAACCGAGTTGCGGGTGGGAGGGTGGGGTGATTGCTCGAGCAATGGAGTTGATAATTCATGAATTGACAAACAATTAAGTAAACCGTATAGTGTCATCTCCGCAGTGCAATCGCCCACTGTTTGGGGTCCACGCTGGCTAACATCCTTTTAGATAACCTCCTACCTGTCGCACACCGAGACGTGGTGTTTGTAGAGAGGGGCCAGCGTTTCGCCCGAGATTTCCTCACAGTTTTTGAGCTTGAAGCTTGACGCTCGCAACAGCTACAGACTGGAGCTCATATCATTTTCAAAATGGTGTTTTCGCCTGAGCGCCGCACATAATCGTGTCAAAACAGACAACACTGGTTACAGAGATGGAGGGGTCCTTGTCAGAATGGAGCTCTCGCCTCACGCATTCGTTAACAACATGTATTGTGGTGTCTTTTCAAAATGTGACTCTCGCCTCAGCGCCGACGGTTAATTTTCAACATTGGGCTCTCGTTTGAAACTTCATCGTATTTAGACAGGGGTGTTCCTTTTAAAAGAAGGGCTCTCGCTTGAAATTCCCAAATGTAGACTTGTGCAACAATTGCGTGGGTGAGGGGTCCTCTTGCCAAACGGGGGTCCTGCTGTGCTGGACACCTGGTTAGCTTGTGTGGTCATGGCTGTCCGCATTCCTGCTCACGCACTGGACGGATACAAGGCAATTCCTTTTCAACATTGGGCCTTCGCGTGAATGGAGAATGGCAGGCCCAGATGGTGTTGGTCTTTCAAAAGGGGGGGGGGCTTCTCGCAATGAGAGGAAACACTGGTGAGGACTTCTGAAGGGGACTTGGGACGGGAGGATGTATTACAGACTCGCTGATGCATCTTAGGTTTTCTCTGGTCCTCCTCCTTTTCCTTCCTGGGACCCTCGGAAACTTCCTGAAGCCCCCGAGGAATCCCCCAACCTCTCTCCTTCTCCCCTCCCCGTCCTCCTCCCTCCTCTTTTCTGCTCCTCCATCTTCTCCTCCTCCTCTGGGCGGGCTTGGAGGCTGGGAGCTGATGTTGTGAACGGCATCGCGCGGTATCGGTCCACAATTGGACCTGGGGGCGCCGTAGGAAACACCACACAATACCACGGCGCGGAACCACACTGTATTTTCCCACACTGCAGCTGCCAACTCGATCGGACATCGGGGAATAATGACCGGCGTAAGACAGCACAACACACCGTGGCACCACACAGCACCACACCGCCGAATCGGACCTCGGCACAACACGCACAATACCACAGGACATAATGGCACACCACCGCATGGCACTGCGCCACCTCGTAGAACCACCAAGCAAAACGCATGGCACCACAGGCAATACTATACTGCACCGCAGGGTACCACCCACAAAAGTTGCACCTTCGGAGGAGAACAACGGAACCGAGCTCAAGGCGCATCACGAGACATCCACGCGGCGCCCGCCATCATCGAGGAGTCCTGGAAGCGTGTACCACAGCGCAGGGTGAGCCCAGAGGGAGGAATGACCTCCGACGCCGAGTACGACGTGTAGCTCGGCCGTGCGAATGCAGACTTTCACCAAGAGTAGGCCGAGGATTCTGGCTCCGTGGAGTGTGAGGAACCCGACTTCGAGGGCGAGAACGGAAGGCACGCTCTCGATGGTGGATGAGGAGGAAGCGGAGGAGCCTGGCCAAGAAGACACGTGATGACATGGCGAAAACTCGCCTGTCCTGCCGGGTTGGGATCCAGCTCTCCCCGGGGTTGAAATTTGCGGACTCGCCCCGCGAAAAGGAACAACTGCCCGAACGCACGCCGTCATGAGGAACCGCTTGCAAGGAGGAGCTGCGTAAAGCCGCGGGCCAAAAGACGTGGGACACGGCAAGCAGAAGGCAAAACATCTCGAGGGTAAATCTCAGCCAAGCGACCAGGACAGACATTCAACCGTGGCGGCTGCCACGGGGCTTCAAGATGCCAGCACGGAGTCAAGTAATGCGAAACACGCAACATCTTCGGTCGGCCTCGAAACAGTCTTGGGCATTTCGCAATACGGCTCCTGGCGGACCCAAATTGAAATGGCGTTCCAGAGTTGCAGCTCTGTGCACCGGAAGAACATCCGAGCCACTGCAACCATTCAAAGCACCACTGAACCGATGCGCATGCATGGCCGATGCAAAAAATCCTTGATATTTGTCAGTGCGCCCGATGGCATAATTTGTTCGCAAACAAGAGCTCCCCGCGACAGCAGCCCCACGACAGCGGCCCCAGGGGGGGAAAGGACTCAGGAGACGTCGCCCACCCCCGCGACACCCACCTAGATGCCTAGCAAGACGCCCTTCTTGCTTGGTCTCGACGCCCTTCTTGCTTGGTCTCAGCGGGATCCCGCTGGACCGAAGAGTTCATAATAATACAATGAAGCTTGGTTCAGGAAGTCTCAGCTGCCGTCGCCAAGAAATAGGGTGCTCCCAAATCCTGGTAGTGGAGTGCAAACCCGCCATCTGATTGCATCTTGGGGTCGTCCCTAGATTATCATCGGATCATCTTGGGATCATGAACTTGTGTTCTGGTACTGCCTCGGCCACCTTGGGGCCGCCCGGGGGCCATCGCGCGGAAATGCGATCATCTCGGAGCCACCTGTTGCGTATATACTGGTCCATATCTGGGTCGCCCTGCGGCCATCCAGCAGCCACGTCGGGATCATGTAGGGATCATGGGGCCCTCTTGGGGTCACCCTGAGGGTATTGTCGGGTCGCTTTGAGTCCATCTTGGGGCCTCTCGGGGGTCTCTTGGGCCATCTGAGGGCGCTCTTGGCCTGTCTGAGGCCTTCGGAGGCCGAGTTAAGGGCATCTCTGGGCCATCTTGGGGGCGGTTTTGGGGCGATCTTCGGGGCCAGTTGGGCCAGGCGCACTTCAGACACACACGAAACTCATGCAGCAGCCACGCGTCCTCGGTTGTGGGGTCTAGGCCTCCTAAGTCTTAGAGCATGACTGTTGGAGGTTGGAGCCGAGCCAAGCGTCGCGCATGCGCTGCAAACCATCCACAAGGCGCCCTTAACGGAGGGCGAGACGGCCGGACCGTGCCCTGCCGCTGCTGGTGGCATCGCGGGAGACAGCAGCGGCATCCCGCTGGCGAGTCAAGCTCGAGGACAGCTTGGGGGGGGTCGCAATAAGCCACGAGGAGGGCCTCGGAGGCGCGCCCCGCGCTCGCCGCAGGGCCATGGTCGCACGGCAGCGGGGCGGCCGACAGCGAGCTGCAGGGGGCAGAAGCGACGAGTAGCCACGAGGAGGCCACCGCGCGAGGAGTCTGCGGGGCCGCGGAGGACGGATTCCAACGCGGCAGGCAGCGACGCAAGGCGGTTGACGACGGCTTCTGCAGGCGCCCGACGGTGACGAAGAGTCAAAAAGGGAGGCTGACACTGAGGGCAAGCAGAGTGGGAGGAGCGGAGCTCCGACGTCAGGGGTGAGGGCAGGCCGCGGAGGCCCACAAGGGGGAGAACAGCCGAAGAGCTCAAGGAGCTCGAACAGGGAATGGAGGCCGAGCAAATATTTGGGGGAGGCCGACACAGATCTGGTGCAGATCGAAGAGCTCAAGGAATGAAGATGGCCCTGGCCGGCGCGGATGACCGTGAGGCGCAGTCGGCAGCCGTCAGGGCCATCGCAGACAGCGAGGGCACCATGATGCTCGAGATCTCGCGGGCGAGGTCAATCACGTCGTGGCGCCAGAGACTGGGCGCCCAGCGGTGCGGCCAGGGTGCGGAAGGTGGCCGCGAACACGCCCATCTCCACCATGCAGGGGCAGCGGGCGCCAGAGACCTGTCAGCGGCGGCGCGAGGCGAGGCCACCACCGCCGAGGAGCTCTGCCGAAGCGAGGGCGCGGGTCAGAGGGATGTTGCGGCGTGGTACGAAGTACGGAAAACAAGGCTAAAACAACCCATCACGATCGGAGGACCCCTCATCATCCGAACCGACCAACGCCTGGGGAAGGGTGGCTGCATCGATGGCCGCCTGGGGAGCCGCCCTGGCGCTGCAGCCGCCAAGCTGGTCCTCCCCGGCCGAGCGGAGGTGGCCCTGAGCGCGCGCAAAGCGTCGGTCGCGGGCAGCGCGCTGTGCACAGGTGTGCGCACTCGTTCTTTTGCGCGATCGAAGCAGGAAACGCCAAGCGCCGAGGAGCGGCGACTGGGACATGCCGCGGCGCGGCTAGCCGCTTGGCGCTCGACGTTCGTCCTCCGCCCACCTCCCCCGCCCCCCTCCGCCCCAGAGTGCAGGGCCGTCCCGCTTCCTGCTCTGCCTCCCCCCTCGTCGTTCGGCTTCACGCGTGTAACAGGCCGCTCTGCGAGGAGAAACAAGAGGAAGGGAGGGAACAGGAACGGAGAGAGCGGAGGGAGGCAGGGGAAGTAGAGAGCGAGGGGATGAATGACGAAGGGGAAATCGGGACCAAAGCAGGAGAGAAAATGGGGTAACAACACGGCGTCCGACGGCGTGGAAGGTCACGCTGCCGCGAAAAGTCACGACGAAAGCTCTCGACGCCGTCTTCGCGCGGAACTCCTCGAGCTGGACCAATCCATCAGGTCCTGGGGTCTGAAACGGAGAAGCAGCGCCGCCGTGATCCTCTCACGACGGCCCTGGGGCCAGGCCTTCCGCTCCCCAACCCCGCGCACAAACGACCCCCCGGGACCTCTCCAGGGGCAGCTTCCCCGCCCGCTCTCCGAGCCGAGCCCGCCCTCGGCGACGAGCCCCCCCGCTCCCCCCGAAGGCGCAGGAACTGCCGACTTGGAGAGGGCCCAGAAGAACAGGTAGGGCCCCGAAGAGCAAACTCTTCGGAGGTCCGCGCGGATTTCTTGGCCCGCTGGGGCGGCGCGGGATGCGCCGCCAGGGCGGCGGGGGGGGGGGGGCGGTGCCGAACCGAACCACCCGCGAGGACCTCCGAAGAATACATGCTCGTGCTGCCTCTGATTGCTCTTCGGGGCAACCGCTCGACCGGCCGAGGGGCCTCAGCTCCGGCCGGGCCGCCAGCAGCTTGGGCTTATGCGCGCTGGTGAAGACGCAAAGTTCACTGGAGAGCATTCTTCATTCGCGGCGGTAATGGGCGTTACGGGGAGGGTCCTCCAGCCGTGTGGGTCTGGCACCAAAGACTGTGGTGCCAGATGCGCTGCGGCAGTGCCAGGAGCGCACTGGAGCGTTACTTTCTTCGGAGCAGGGCGAGTTGAGACAACGGCAATTCAAATTCGGTCCCCAGACCACTTCTGGGGTATAACCGCACCAGTTTTCCGAGCTGCGTCCCCCTCCCCGAAGGCCAACTATCGTTGTCTCAACTCGCCTCCTCCGATGATATAAAACACAACGTGTGTGATGGCCCAGAGACTACAAAACCACTATCCTGGGCGGCCGCTGAGGGGCGTGCGCCTGCGCGCGGGCTGCCTGCGCCTCCTGGTCGGGGGTTGCCAAAGGTGCCCCTGGCCCAAGGTTTCCCCAGCTTTTCGGACGATTTTGGGCCCTCCTGGGGCCCTCTGGACCCCGTGAGGGGTGTTCTGGAAGCCTTGGGGGCCTGCTTGGAAATCCTGGGGACACCTTGGGCCGTGGGCACTTCTGGCAACACCCGATCCTGGGAGGCCCTCGGTACCGCGGTCACCGCCAGCCTGCGGCCCTCAGCCAGCCCGAGGTCGGCCGGCCAATGCGTCGGCGAGACGAGCCTGCCGCAATGGACGAAGGCCACCTTGTCCTGGTCCGCACCGTACCGCCTGGGGATATCAGTCGCCTCCTCCTCTTCCTCCTCCTCCTCCTCCTCCTCCTGCTCCCCCTCCCTCCTCCTCCTGATCCCCCTCCCTCCTCCTCCTCCTCCTCCTCTCCTCCTCCTCCTCCTCCTCCTCCTCCTCCTCCTCCTCCCTCCCCTCCTCCTTCTCCTCCTCCTCTTCCTTTTCCTCCCCCCCCTCCCTCCTCCTCCTCCTCCTCCTCCTCCTCTTCTCCTCCTGCTCCTCCTCGTCCCTCCTCTCCTCCCCTCCTCCTCTCTCCTCCTCCTCCTCCTCCGCTCTCTACTCCCTACTCCCTACTCCCTGCTCTTTCCCCCCTCCTCCCTACTCCCTACCCCCTCCTCCATCTCCTCCCTCTCCTTCCCCTCCTACTCCCTCCATTATCCTACGCTTCCTCCTCCTCACCCTTCCTCTCCCTCCCCCTTCCTCCCTCCCCCTTCCTCCCCCTCCTCCTCCCTCCTCCTCCTCCTCCTCCTCCTCCTCCTCCTCCTCCTCCTCCTCCTCCTGGGGACACCCTCGACGCCTCCCCAAGAAACCCTGGACCCTTCCACAGATCCAGGAGAATCGGCTCCAAAAAAGTTCCAAGGGGTTCTAAACAGGGGGCCCTGGCGAGACCGCTCCGTCGTGCTTCTCGTTGCCTCCCCCCCCGGCAAGCACCGACACCAAGCGCGGATCACTTTGGCCATGGTGTCCTCGGGCCCCAACTCGAAGTTCAGCTTGACCTCCTTTCCGTCCTTGCTCCGTGCCTTCACCTTGACCACCGCGCTATCGGAGGCTAATTGCCTGGTGGCCCGTTCCCTCTTCACCGCAGGCTCCTCATGCGGCCCAGTGTCGCACGGCGAGCTGCGCTTGCGAGCCATTGCGCGGGGCTTGGCGACAAATTCGTGCTCCTCGCCGACCTCCGTCGGAGCCCAGCCCAGCGACATGGGGCTGTCCTCGGGATGAGCTCATGCGCGCTCGGAGTGCAGCTATGCATCCTTTCATACAGGTCTTTGTTACCTGGTTCCGCCACGACGCTGGCAGCGGTTGGTGTGTCGGGTCCACTCTTTTTGGTTAGTTTCGCCTTTTGCCAGACAGTAACTCGTAACAATCATTTTGCAACGCCAAGCAATGCAACTCAATGCCAACCGAAGCCAAGCAATGCCGAGCAACGCCAAGCAATGCAAATCAATGCCACGCAACGCCAAGCGACACCAAGCAACGCCAAGCAATGCGAAGCAACACCAAGCAACGTGCCCATGCAATGAGAACCTTTCTTTTATCGGAATCGCTCTGGGTTCATTTGTTGGTTTCGCTTCTTGCTGAACAATCGAGGCGAACTCCCGACGGATCGAGACCAACGTGCCCTCCAAACAGACGATGTTATGCAAAAGTTAGCAGGCAGACCGGGCGGGAACCCTCCATGGCACCTACCTCCTGGGCCACACCCCCCAAGCCCCCTGCCCCTCCCGCCAACCCTGGGCACCTGCCCGAGCGCGGTGGCAGATTTGCGCGGCAGCGCAGCTGGATAGGATAGGCTCACGCGTTGGAGTTCTTACCCTGCTGCAGGGAATCGGTTGGGTTGGCGCCGTGCCCCCGTTCCCGACGCACCCCTTTGGGCGAACGGTGCCGATCTCAAGATTAGGCCGTCACCTGTACTTGCGCTTACGCATTCTCGCGACTATGTCACTGTATGTCACTGACCCTGACAAACCCTTACGACCACTTCTGCTTCTTTGCTTGGGGGCAAGTCTGATAATCCGTCCGTGAGAACGACCCAGGCTGAAGTGGAGAGGCAAGTCCAATGTTAGGTTGGAGGGAGGTCTTGTCGCCCAGCGTCTCCACTTGACCCAGAGCGAGCTGGATAAACTATTGCTTAATGCGCATTGGTTGGCGTACGTGTGCAAAGACTCCATACTTCTAAACTTTTCCTGCTAATTTGTGATGTTTCACTCGAACAGCTTTTATCTTCGCGCGCATTGAGAACATGAGTGCCGATGTTACGAAGACAATGCCTCCGCACTGCTCCAACCATTTTCCTCACCCTCTGTGCTTTGTGGTGGTCGCATGTTCCCTGTCCCCTTGCTGCAATATGGCTGCGGGAAACGGGTGTCGTGCCACAGTCGAATAAGCTCCTCCTCGGCCGTACACATGCGGTTCACATAAATGCTTCTCCGCCCCACTTCGTTCAGTTTCATTTGACATGTCGTCTTTGTAAACTTATCTACGATATCGGTGACATCGTTTGCGCTAGCCTTGCCCAGTCTAGCTCAGCCTATCTGCATAACGCTGTATGTATGTATGTAGGCATGTATGCATGCATGTCTGTATGCATGCATGTATGTACGTATGTTTGCATGCATGTATGCATGTATGTATGTATGTATGAATGTACATATGTAGTTATGTAGTTATGTAGACATGCATGTATGCATACATGCATGTATGCATGTATGTATGCATGCATGCATGCATGTATGTATGTATACATGCATGCATGCATGTTCGTATGTACGCATGTATGTATGTATGTATGCATGCATGTATGTATGTATATATGTATGTATGTATGTATATATGTATGTATGTATGTGTATGTATGTATGTATGTGCGTGTTTGTGTGCACACGTACATCCACATATATGTATGTCTGTATGCATGCATGCATGCATGCATGTATGTATGTACGTATGTACGTATGTATTCATGTGTATAGGTAGGTATATGTATACGTATAAGTATATGTATATGTATACGTATATATGTATATGTATATATATATATAGGTATGTATGTATGTATCTCTGTCTATAGACACACATCGCTGTCCCATTAGCGTTGCCCAGCCTCGGCATGAACACCTTCTAGTTCCATTGAGTAACATCTGCCCTGGCATACGCCAGCTTAGCTCAGCTCAGCGCATGTCAATGCAGGCCAACACAATTTATTATGGTTATGCCATGCTTCCGCTTGGTGGGATATTGGTGTTTGATGCTGGGGGGCTCATTTACCCCATCGCACCCTGATTCAGCGGCTTGGCAGTGGTGTGGGTTTCGTCTGTAGCTATCGTGGCTGGGATGAGTTAAACTTGATTCAAATTCTCTTCGTCCTGGCTAGAGGGGTTCAAAACATCTTATTTGCGTTCAGATTGGTTTGAGCTGTATCAGGTCTTGGACTTGAGCAGTACCTGCTGGTTTAACGCCTCCTCGCCGAATTGAGCTAGCATTGGGCTGGTGTGCGTCGACATATTCTGTCAATCTGTTTCAAAGAATCTGACATCATGTGACGGCTTCGGGACGTGTTTCTGCATCCACGTCGTGTTTAGCTTTGGCGCTATTTGTACGATGGCCCAATTTATTGTCACCTTGGTTTTGGTTTAACTTCCGCATTATCCCCCACCGGTCCCCGAGGCACGAAGCAGAGTGCCCACAATTCCTTTCGAGTTCCAAATGATTGTTAAATTTTTTCAGGGGTCCACAACCCCGAATTCTGGGCGCTCCTTGGGTATCTCGCGTGTTTTCGCGTGACTGCTTCAGATGCAAAATGAAGGCCCCAAGAAGCTCCCGAAACTGTCCACGAGTGCCCTGAGACGGCCCAAGATGGCCTCAAGACGGCCCACGAGGCCCCCAAGACGCCCCAAGAGGGCTCTAAGAGGCACAAATCAATGATTTCCCTGAAGTGTTTTTTTCCCGACCATCCTGTGCTGTTGGGTCCTCGTCTTGAATCAGCAGTGACCCGCGTCCCTTACGCCTTCCTCCTCCTCCTCCTCCCGCCTGCCTCCTCATTGTCATCGTCATCGTCATCGTCATCGTCATCGTCATCGTCATCGTCATCGTCATCGTCATCGTCATCACCATCCCCATCCCCATCACCACCATCACCATCACCATCACCATCATCATCATCATCATCATCATCATCATCATCACCATCATCGTCATTATCATTATCATTATCATCATCATCATCCGCATCACCATCCACATCACCATTACCATCACCATCACCATCACCATCACCATCATCAGCAACATCATCACCATCATCAGCATCACCATCATCATCATCATGATCATCCGCATCACCATTATCACCCGCATCATCATCAACACCATCCACGTATAATCACCACCATCGTCATTGAAATTCATCACCATCACCACCACTATCATCACCATCACCAACATCATCATCACCACCATTACCACCATCATCATCACACCCATGATTATCATCACCATCACCATCATCATCGTCATCGTCATCGTCGTCATCGTCATCCTCATCGTCATTATCACCATCATCATCACCATCCCCAGCACCAGCACCATCACAATCGCCATCGCCATCATCAGCATCCGCATCATCACCACCACCACCAGCATCACCATGATCATGATGATGATCATCATCATCATCACCATCATCGCCATCGGCATCGTCATCATTATTCTTATCACCATCATTCGCATCATCATTAGCATCATCATCATCAGCATCATCACCATCAGCATCATCATCACCACCACCATCATTATCATCATCACCATCATCACCATCACCATCACCATCACCATCATCATCATCATCATCATCATCATCATCATCATCATCATCATCATCATCATCACCACCACCACCACCACCACCACCACCACCACCATCCAACATCAACACTATCAAAATCGCCACCTACGTGTCGGAACACCCCTCACACGGTTTGTGGCCCCATAGGGAGCTCCACCGAAGGCCTTTGTAGCACAATTCGCATGCGGTCCCGCCTCTCATTTCGGCACACCCCTCACCCGTTTCGCCGCCCCATAAAGGGTATCCACCGAAGGCCCCAGTGCCAGGGTTCCCACGCAGTCCAGCCCTACTTCGGCAGACCCCTCAAAGGTTTGGTGGCCCCTAGGGACTCCACCAAAGGCCTCTGAAGGAAGGCCCGCATGCCACCGCCGCGCCGATTTCGGCACACCCCTCACACGTTTCGCGGCCACATAGGGAGCTCCACCGAAGGCCCCAATGGGAAGGTCCGCATGCCACCACCGCGCCTATTTCGGCACACCTCCATCACGGTTCTCGGCCCCAAAGGGAACCGTCCCTCACACGTTTCGCGACCCCGTAAGGAGCTCCACCGAAAACACCAGTGGGAAGGCCTGCGTGCCGCCGCCGCACCCATTTCGGCACACCGCGCAACGTTTCGTGGCCGTGTAGGGAGCTCCACCGGAGGCACCAGCGGGAGGGCCATTATGTCGCCACCGCGCCCACGTCGGCACACCCCTCGCACGGTTCGTGGCCCCACATGGAGCTTCACCGACGAACTGCAGCCTCGACGTGCATGGCATGGTGGCGTCGGCTGGCAACGCATGCGGCGTCTCTCACCCACGTCTTGATGGCATCCGTTTGTCGTCGGAATTGCTCCAGGCACTGCCCGATACACATCCCAGCGGCTTTTGGCCAGTGGGGCCGCGCGCCATTACGATTGGGTTTTGGTCAACCAAGGAGAGAGTGCTTGGTTTTCCCGGCGGGCCGTACTAGTACGCCAGAGTACGCCTACTAGTACGCCGAAGTACGCCTACTAGTACGACCCGCGGCGCCCGGGAGGCGTACTCGTAGAGCAGAAGTACGCCTACCAGTACGACCCGGCGGGTCGTACTAGTACGCCGAAGTACGCCTACTAGTACGACCCGCGGCGCACTAGTAGGCGTCGTTGGTTGTACTAGTAAGCAAAAGTAGCCCTACTAGTACGCCCCGGCGGGGCGGACTTTCGAGGATGTCTCGAGCGAGGGCCCCCTCCGCCGGTCGTACTAGTAGGCCAAAGTAGCCCTACTAGCACGCCCCCGCCAGACCCCTCTGGACCGTACTAGTAGGCCAAAGTAGCCCTGCTGGTAGCCTCGCCGGGGCGGACTTTCGAGGATGTCTCGAGCGGGGGCCCTCTCCGCCGGT